GGGAATTGTCAGCAATGCACATATACGATCATGCTTTGCGAGATTCGAACCTAGGACCTATCGGTCTCGCGCACGAGCGCTTAACCTCTAGACCACTGAGCTGGCCGGCATCCAACTGTGTTAATGTCTAACTTCAACTAATCCACGAAAATGAGCCACACATCCACCATTGTCTTCAATGAGTTACAATCAAACAACAGACCTGGTTGAACTTCACTGCTCTTTTTAAGATAAAGTTTCACAATTCAATATAATTTACTTCCTATTTGATACATTTAGCAACGATTAAACCATTACAATTTCAAGCCAAAAAAATTCATTCCCATCCATCTTGTATATAAGAAAAGAATACTATTAGCCTACACAGATTCGGGATTAATTATTTTACATTAGTAAAACGATTCAAAGCAGATGACAGGTTGGTAAAATTACTCAGGGTAATGTAAATTATACTTAGGGAAAATTGTCAAGACATTAAATGTAAATTGAACAATTAAGATAATTGTTGTTGTTTTTGTTTTAGACAAACCATTAAAATACGATTTAAAATAAATGTAAACTACATTATTCAATTAGAAGATATATACATTCCAAGAGTCTTTCCTTTATTTCAATAATGAATTGATCATAGCTAGACTACCACTAAAATCCAAGAAGTACTAGACAACTATTTTGTTCTTTAACAGTGCACAACCACAACCCTCTCATATGAAATCAAATCTAAGTAGTATGGTTTTATACACGAACGCTGAATCCTTAGACCACTGAAGCAGTATCCATTAATGAATTGTGCATAGCTAGACTACCACTTAAATCCAGGATGTACTAGACAACCATTTAGTCCAAGTATGAAATTGTTCAGCACCGCCCAACCACAACCCTGTCATAAGAAATCAAACCTAAGAAATATAGTTTTATACATGAACGATGAATCCTTAGACCACTGAAGCAGTATCCATTAATGAATTGTGCACAACCACAACCCTCTCATATGAAACTAAACCTAAGAATTATGGGTTAATACACGAACGCTGAATTCCTAAACCATTGAGGCAGTATCCGACGACGTTCATCAAAGTGTGATTATTCAAATAATAATGATAATAACCGATCAAATATAACTTACTTCTATAATCTCTTTCAATAACAACTATATGTGAAACAAAAAAGAGAAAAATTTGCAAAGACAAACTTTAGTTTATATACAAAAAAGGTATAAATGAAGAATCACATTAAAACTAATCTGTAACTAAGTGCTGAAAAATGAAGAAAATTACAAAAAAAATTTAGTATGAATGAACCATGGTTAACACACACACACACAAATGTAAAAGTATTTTATTACACACACTTTCACAGAAAGAAGGTAATAATGAGTTCTCTTATGTATATATTTTCAGTAGTTTTTTTTGTTTGATGAGTAGTTAGGGTACTTTTTGTTTAAAAAAAAGGAAAAAAACTAAATTTAATAAAACGCTTCCAAGATATATAAGTAGTATATATGTATATATAAGTAGTATATATGTGGTAGTCAACCAATAGTTAATCACTGGTCAATCTATTGATGATATAATAATGATGTTTTAAATTAAGGGATTACTTGATGTCAACTAATTTTTAGTTTGTTTGTTACTCATAAAATAGTTTATCTTACCCAACTCATATTGTCTCACATTCTCGAAATATACCCTTTATTGATATAAATGATGTAGTCAATATTAATTTGTTGTTGTGATTGTTGTGGTGGTGGTTTTGGTTGTTGTTAGGATGTTTAGTTTTAGTACCAAATTATTGATTAAAATGGATGGAGTCTTTTTCCATTTATATATTAACCAGTTGAATAGTTGAATGTAATACTGAATTGTAATGATTAACTATATAAGTACACTATTAATGAGTTATAGAGTCATAAGTTGAATTGATTAGATTAATGTAGACTTAATTTTATATTAGAGAAGTGAAATGGTTGAATGTTGAATTGATTAGCAATTCTAATGAATAAGGGATGGGAATTATGAAACTTTAGAAATAAGAATAAGTTAATATATCATTATGATTTGGTGGAGATTTGTAGCTCAGGTGGGTGATTTCGATGGAGTTTTGTTCAGAAACATAGGAACAAAAATCAAACCAATGGGAAATACAACCAAAACAAGGAAATAAACAATGACAGATGTAAGGTCAACAAGAACCTATCGACATCGAGGTGCACAAGACAAGATGTGAATCACATGCGGAGACATTCAAAGGCTTCACTTTTACGCAAAGTTTGTGTTGGTGATGTCGTTCAGAAGGACGATGAAAGCTCCATGACCAAACCATCCAGCTGAGAGAACAAAACTCCATCAAAATGTACCATTATTATTATTATTCTCTTTCAATAATTTGTCTATTAAACACGTTGTAAGAATTATGGTTCAAGGTGATTCAAGACAACATTACGTCCAAATGTTTCAAGATAATAAGTTTTTTTATTTTTTTAAAAACATGGTCAGTTACTAGGTAACATAGCATATTTAAAACTGGAGAACATCTGGAACTCAAAACAATTGTCAATCAACACCAATTTTCAATACAAATGTCAAGACAGTTCTACTGTATGGGGCGGAGACTTGGAGAACTACGAAAGCTATCATCCAGAAAATACAGGTGTTTATTAACAGTTGTCTACATTAGATACTTCGGATCCTTTGACTAGACACTATCAGCAACAACCTACTGTGGAAGAGAACAAACCAGATTCCAGTGGAGGAAGAAATCTGGAAGAAGTGCTGGGATTGGATAGGACACACATCAAGAAAATCAACCAACTGCATCACAAGACAAGCCCTCACATGGAATCCTGAAGGTCGAAAGAGTAGAGGAAGACCAAAGAACACATTACACCGAAAAATGGAGACAGATATGAGATGAATGAATAAAAATTGGATAGAACTAGAAAAGAAGGCCCAGGACAGAGTGGGTTGGAGAATGCTGGTCGGCGGCCTATACTCCATTGAGAGTAACAGGCGTAAGTAAATTTCCGAGTAATTAACTACTAGGTAAACTCCGCCTGTAGCTCCTCCAGGGGCTACTGCCGGTCTCAAGCCCTGGTAAAGGAGGAGGGTTGGGCATGGGGTTAGCGACCACATCCCGTAGAAAATCAACTCGCTAAAAAAACGCTAACCAGAATAAATCATTCAAACCATTCAAACTCTGCCCTGGGAGTAGAAGGAAAAATGACGTCTCATGATGAAAGCCGAGTTCATTCGGAAGTCATGAGGCCGATGCACCTTCTTACAACCAGAGCGACAATTTTTATAGGTACATGGAATGTCCGGACAATGTGGGAGACCGGCAAAGTCTTCCAAATTACTGCGGAAATGAGGAAATACAACCTGGAAGTGCTTGGAATCAGCGAAACACATTGGACGCAGGTTGGACAACAACGACTGTCTTCAGGAGAACTTCTGTTATACTCCGGTCATGAAGAGGAAAATGCCCCACATACACAAGGAGTGGCACTGATGCTGTCCAGAAAAGCACAAAATGCACTTATAGGATGGGAATCTCATGGACCGAGGATCATCAAAGCCTCCTTCAGAACAAAGAGAGAGGGCATTACAATGAACATCATCCAATGCTATGCGCCGACCAACGACTACGATGAAGACGCTAAAAACCAATTCTACAATAGGCTGCAGTCAATCTTCGAGAAGTGCCCAACCAAGGACCTGACCATTCTAATGGGAGATTTCAATGCCAAGGTTGGAAAGGACAACACTGGATACGAAGACGTCATGGGACAACATGGACTGGGAGGAAGGAACGAAAACGGTGAGAGATTTGCAAACCTATGTGCCTTCAATAAACTGGTCATAGGTGGCAACATATTCCCACACAAAAACATACACAAAGCCACTTGGATTTCACCGGATCACACTACACAAAATCAAATCGACCATGTCTGCATCAACAAAAAGTTCAGGAGGACGATGGAGGATGTGAGAACCAGAAGAGGAGCTGATATAGCATCCGATCACCATTTGCTGGTCGCCAAGATGAAACTAAAACTCAAGAAGCACTGGACAATGGCGCGGACAACATCACAAAAGTTTAACACGGCCTTTCTTCGAGATGCTGACAAACTCAACACATTCAACATAGCCCTCAGCAACAGGTTCCAGGCCTTTCATGATCTACTCAATGGAGAGGGAACTACCATGGATGTGGAAACCTTTACATATCTGCTCAGCATCATTGATGAACACGGTGGATCAGATGCAGATGTGAGGGCGCGGATCGGCAAAGCAAGAGCAGCATATTTACAACTGAAGAACATCTGGAGCTCGAAACAATTGTCAACCAACACCAAGGTTAGAATTTTCAATACAAATGTCAAGACAGTTCTTCTGTATGGGGCAGAGACGTGGAGAACTACGAAAGCCATTATCCAGAAGATACAAGTGTTTATTAACAGTTGTCTACGCAAGATACTTCGGATCCGATGGCCAGACACTATCAGCAACAAGTTACTGTGGGAGACAACAAACTAGAATCCAACAGAGGAAGAAATCAGGAAGAAGCGCTGGAAGTGGATTGGGCACACTTTGAGGAAATCACTCAATTGTGTCACAAGACAAGCCCTCTCATGGAATCCTGAAGGTCGAAGGAGAAGAGGAAGACCAAAGAACACATTACGCCGAGAAATAGAGACAGACATGAGAAGAATGAACAAGAACTGGAAAGAACTAGAAAAGAAGGCCCAGGACAGAGTGGGTTGGAGAAAGCTGGTCGGCGGCCTATGCTCCATTGGGAGTAACAGGCGAAAGTAAGTAAGTAAGTAAGTAAGTAACTACTAGGTAACCAATTTTCTTTTTTTAATTCTAAATAAGGTTTGGCATAAATTATTGTGAAATTCAATCAAAAAGTAATGATTGTTGTCGTTTCATAAAGAATAAGAATAATAATAATAAAAGGTATATTAAACTTACTGTTATGTCCACGTTGTTTACAGTCTACAGGTGAATAAAGCGGTACTATATCTGTAGAAAGATGAAAATTATTCTGGTGTTCAAATTATCTTAGAATGATAACTATTTTATAACACTGTTCTGTTATTTCTTTACTGTAAATGACAAATGTCAGATGATGATGATGACGTAACTCACCAACGTCATCATGATCACCATTATTGTTATTATTATTCTTTTAAAGGTGACAAATAAGTTTATCATGAGAGTAATACTTTCAACTAAATCAGCAATAGTATAACTTACCAGATTGAATACAGATAAGTAAATGTGCTAACTAATGACTCGTTATAATAACTTTACTTCATATGGAAACTTATGATACGATATAGAAATGAGATAAGTTTTGACAATTTAGGTATAAAACGGGATTCATACTAGAAACTGTTTCTGTGCTCATCATTACATTCACGTAACATCAAGGTATATAATATATCTACCGTTGTTTTTAAACGTCAATAGTACTGCAAATACAAAAAGGTTTAAATGATAGATGATTTAGTTTGAAATTACCTAGATATCATAATTTCTCTGTTAGATTAACTACCGTAGAGCTATCTCGAAAGTATTTATAAGAAGATATGATGAAAAGAAGTGTTTTAGTTTATCTTAATCAACCATGATTATATTCTCTTTTTCTACTGACTATCGCAAAATATAAATATTTAAATGATTGGTCAAACTTACATGAACAATATTGTATCCCTTTGCCAGAAACACTCGAGCCCCCTAAATTAATAGAGATTAAAGACAATGTAATTAATGCATAAAATTGTACTATAATCAGCTGATATTATAAACTGAATCACTTAAAAATAATTTGGAAATTATCTAAGAAATGTGTTATATCTAGAGCTTTGATTCTTGCTATGGTGCGTGCTACTAGACTACTTGAACGATCGAACACGCAACGTCGCAAAAGAGAAGACAGAAGACTAGTAAGTAAAGACAACCTGCACAAGATGTAATTCTGGTAAAAAGTGTTTGATCAATTACGTCCTTTAAAGTTATCAACGGGAAGACTCAAACGATCCTTACAATTGAATTAAAGTTTACCGCTGTTACACAAGCCAAATAGATATCTGGATTTAGTAATTAAATGTATAACTCATTAAGCGTTTGATGTAAACATTACTGAGTTCGAGCTCGCATGGATATCAACACGGAAGCAGACTTATCCAGCTGACAAGTCCTAGAAAGCACGAAACGGGTGCTCTGGATTGCACCACTAACCACTTTACAACTGTGCTACCAAATTTTTATGTCTCCAAAGGATGGTAAATCATTTTTTACACTTCATTATGAAATTTTCCAGACAAGTGAAATGAGTGATTTGCCTTTGGTTGTTGATACAACTTTTATATGATATATATCGTGTCAAACGATTATAAAACTCATTTTTTTAACCTCAAATCACTTATGTGTCTATTATTGATCAATGAACCAAAGATTATGTTCCATTCAAATGATTATCAATCATTTGGTAACGGCTATTATTTACTAAATTGTTACCAAGTAGTATGATTTGAAATTCACAGTATTTCGCAAAGCTATTTTATTAATGATCATGAAAAACCATCAGTCAGTGATCAAGGAACTTACTTAATGTACTGTTATCTACAATTTCAAAATAAGATAATAGTCGCTTAGATTCTAACAGTATTAAATAGTCATTGAAAACAACATTCAAACTATTTTTGAAGTGTTTCATTCTGTTATGAAACTCCTCAGACGTGAGCATTCACGATCCCGCTCTCTGGATTCGAACTCATGACCAGTGAAGTTTAACCAGGTCTGTTGTGAGATGGTAACTCACTGAAGACAATGATGGACGGCGGCGCAATTTCGTGGATTGATTGAAGTTAGATATTAACACCGTTGGATGCCGGCTTAGTAATCCAGATATTATGCGTTCGCGAGTTGACAGAAGGTCCTAGGCTTGAGTCTTACGAGCGGGATTGTGAATGCGCACTGCTAAGGAGTCCCGTACTAGGACGGTTCGGCCTTCCAGTGCTTCCACGTTTTCCATGATGGTCTAGCTTTAATTATTCATTAACATAAGTATCCCAAAACTCTTTTAACTGACGAAATAAATGATAGATTACTGGATATATGATCGATAAAGTACTTCCGAATTACTCTTAAAAAATGATCTTGATATATTCAATAATTTACTATGCTGAGTTATAAACTAGCAAGTCAACAATATTCAGGAATTCCCTAACCTATATCTAACCTTAGTGCAAATCTACTTCTAAATAGATTCATTGTTTATTTGTATACCTTTTATTAAGATATACCTTTCAGGAAAAGTATTTCTCTATTATAAGCAAAGATCGATACTGGCTATCAATGGAATCCAGCTGGATGTTTTCTTTAAACGCCATCGCTTGATTCACTTAGCAACTGAGTCTTGATAGCCACTTTCTTGTGCAAAGTGAATTTATTTATTTATTACTCTAACACGATCATAGTAATTCCAATGTTTTATTTGACTAAAGAGTTTAAATTGTTTATCTTATTTATGTTTTAATCATTTTAATCTTCGATACATTGTAATATTGTAATAATTATATTCAACATTGTTTATAGAGCGGAAGTTCATCAGTGTAAGGGACTGAAAAGGTGGTTACGATAAAATTCAGAAGTGTATGAAACAAAATATAAAAATTAACTTACTATCATCATCTATAAAAGTTTTATATAAAAAGAAAAATAGTTTAATTCAGATGCAGAAAACTGACATGGTAAAATTTAAGGCATAATGTTAAACATGTCGTTCTAATGTTTTTGATTAAGATCGTAAATCAATTGATGTTAGACCATCATTGAAAACCTAGAAATACTGGACGGTTGTCTCGTCCTTATATGGGACTCCTCAGCAATGCACATCTATGATCCCATATGCGAGGTTCGAACATAGGACCTTCGCTCTCTTGCGAACTGATCTGGCATCCAATGGTGTTAATGACTAACTTCAACCAATCCATAAAATTGCACGACCATCTTTCATTGTACTGAAGTAAATACCTATCTCTACCTGACATTGATTAGTTCCACTGGTAACGGCTACTCACTAGAACTCTGAGAATTCCCTCAATAGTGGTCTAACACTAATCGATTCATGATCTCAAACAAAACTTTAATAATCTCCATAACCCAATACTGATGATTTAATGTTTGTTGTTAGTAGGTAATAATGGAATAATGTTTACCAAACGCTTTCAGAATATATACTATTATTAGTAGAGAAGATTTCATAACTATTTATGAAACCTAATCCAACCCATGCTATTTCTAAGTTCATTATATTTAGTTATCTCGGAAAAAAAAAGAATACTCAAGCTAGACAAATAAATAGAAATCCACACATTCAACTACAAATAGATCTTAGATAAACGACCTATACAGAGTGAAATGTTTCAGTTAGAGACAAACTGATCACTAGGATAGTTTTAATATCAAATGGTTAGTTAGTGAATACATAATTGTGAACATGCACTAATTGAAATTGTATGAATACATTTTGATATTGTAGAACTATTCAAGGCAATATTATATAATGTTAAAAAGATGAATACAGTAAGACAAAATGCAATGTATGCCACCATTGATTTCCAATCTAATTAGTGTCTACTATCCAATATAAGGCATCAGCATTTCAAAATAAAATTATATAAGGTTGACTTGTAATAGAGCATTCAATGAAAAGGTATTCGTATGTTATTAGTGTGTCTAGAGTATCAAATCAATATTCGGAAAGATACAAATCAATAAACAGAATATCCAGAGTATAAAACACAGTTGAAAGGTAGAATGAAATTCCTGAAAACTGACTAAATACAAAATACTGTGGATAATTTCAAATATTGCTTATAGCAATTATAAGTCATCAGATTTAAAATACTAGGTCTGTTGTGTGTGTGTTATTAATGTCGACAGATATAAGTAGTGTGTATCACCAGTCGGAAGTGAAATACCTGATGGCAGAAGGTTAAGAAGGTCAAAGAGAACAAACAATCATTGGTGTGGAAACAATGAAACAATCAAGTCTAAGACGATTGATTGACGTTTTAAAAATGAAGTATTTATTGTATGGTTCTCAGATTTTATTAAGAGATTCTGTAGTTTTTAGCAAAGATGGATGGTGGCTGGCAATATAATCCAGGATACACTTTTCCTCCTATTTGGGACTCGTCAACTGAATGTACCTGCATCTCAGAGTTGATGTTCCCTCCGGAACTCGAACTCAGTACCGTTCGCTTCGAAAGATAATGTGATAGCAATTGCTTATAATTCTTATAACTTAGGCAATATTGAGGTAATTCATACAGTAAGCACATATGCCAATAAGAGACTGATTAATTGCAGTGCTAAACATCAATGAGAAGATTCAAGTAAACAATAACAAGTGAGTTTATTCCGTAATTTTGTATTAATATACATTTGGTCGTCCCCGCCTTAGTTCTCTTTCACTGATAGTCGAATGGTGTAACAGATTTACATTTGAATGACATGAAGTAAACTTAGATAAGACGAAGCTATTCATCAATGTATTCAAATATGAAACAGTGTACGTAATCACAAACTGTTTATGTATTTTGTTTCAGATTGAAGTATATTTAGAAAAGAAAACGAGCATATCCAGGGTTTAGTTCAATCAGTAAAGACGTTAAATTATAACTTTCCAATATATAGTGTAATTCATTCCATCAATGCCTGTGAACGTGTATAACAATATGTCTTACATAAGATGGAGAATTGAATAAACCCTTAACAGTGGCGAATTTGACATTTTATCTAAATAATTTGTAAAATTAAACTAATTAATGATTAAAGAAAAGATGTCTAAAATTACATAGATTTCATCTTATTCTACAAATCATACTATCATAAGCTCGATAATGTATCCTACAAAGATTTATTAAATGACTGTATACTAGTTTTCTAGTTTACGTTAATGAAAATGTAGAACATAGTAAGCAAAAGTTAGAAAAGAGTAATAAACACAAAATATGTAAATGCATATGAACTTTTGTTAGTCGAGATCATGATTCACTTCAAGCTAGGCCATCATCGAAAATCTGGAAGCACTTTAAGGGCGTTTCGTTCTACTATGGGACTCCTCATCAGTGCGCATCCACGATCCCAACTCACGAGATTCGAACCCAGCACCTGTCAGTTTCGCGTGCGAATGCTTAAACAATAGACCACTGTATCCGCATCCAACGGTGTTAATTCCAACTTCAACCGATCCACGGAATTGCCCCACCGGCCATCATTGTCTTCAGTGAGTTACTATCTCACAACTGGCCTAGTTGAATTCCAGTGGTCACTGTTTCTCACTAGAACTCCAGGAAATACATCCAGTGATTCCAGGTTTTCCATGATGGTCTGGCTTCAAGTGATGCATGGTCTCAACTATTAAAATTAGTATACTATCCACAAAACCTCTTCTGACATATATGAACTTACTTGCATCTGTAAAATCAAGCAAATCAAAGCAAGAAATCATAACCAGTTAAATTAACATATTGAATATATTTTGCCTAACTGAAATTATGTGTTTTGTAAAATAATCCTTATTCAGTTATTCTAGAATTACGTATTTTTTAATGTTTAGTTCCAAATAATTGATTATTCTTTTAATCATCTTAAAATTAACTATGCTTGTAGCTCTTCTAGAATTACTGCCAGCCCTAAGCCCAGGTAAAGAAGAATGGTTGAGCGTGAGGTCCTTAACCCCATTCGGTAGAAAAAAAATTATGTTAAAAAACGCTGACTATTTTAAAGTACTACTGAAAACTTAAATAATCTGATTGAGAAAAAACACTCAGATATAAAGCACAGTGTAGAAATCTCTTTAAAATAGATCCTTTCTCAGTTCAAGAATCATCATAAATGATGAATAACTGAGTAATCGGCATGTTAGGCATTAAGATACACTTGACATTTATCACAGTACAGAGAGTATTTAGTACATAAAATAAAGCACTTCAGAATACTGTAAATAATTGCAAAAATGTAACCACATTTTATCCAACAAACACACTTTCATTTTCTAAACTACACCGTAATCTATTACTAGATATCGTGAATCGATGTAAGCTAGATTACTATTGAAAACCTGAAAGCAATGGACTACCGATTCGTCCTAGTATGGAACTCTTTACTAGTGCGCATCGACTACCCGAATGCGGGAATCTAACCTAAGACCTTCCGCCTTACGCGCGAACTCATAAGATCTAGACCACTGAACCGGTATCCAACAATGTAATTGTTTAACTTCAATCGATCTATGGTTTTGCGCAACAAATCAACAATTATCTGAGGTTGATACATGTTTATACCCGACACGAAACGGAATCCACTATTCACTTCTCACAGGAACTCCAGGGATAATACATCTTGAAAAAAGTCACAAGTGAGCTCTGCACAATTCCACCAAACTTAACTAATAAATATATATTGATAATATTTGATCTGTATATAATCACAATAATTGACAACTCATCACATTATATTATGGTAGATATGTAACAGACAAAATGAACTTACTTCCATCTGCGGAAACAAAATCAAAACAAGAAATCACAAAACAAACATTTCAGTAGTTGTACAAACACAATTTATTTGTATGATGTGATTGATATTGGTGTCAATTATTTGTTATTCATCATTTCTTAACATCTATTTCATTCTCAACACCAAATTTGAATGAATCCATTCTCACACTAGAACATTATTCGAAATATACAGTCACAAATCATCGTTGTCATCATTTCAGGTGACTTTCTCAGTTGATGTGAAGTTCCGTGATTTATCATCTAACAAATGATCTGCTGTCATCCATTACACAGTGAGCAACATATTAAGTCTTTATCAATCAAGATAACTTTTATTATTTGACACATAACCATGTATTCCTCAAAGTATTCAAATCCTCCTCAATAATGTTGCTTCTGTAAACATTTGAATCTGAAACCTGAGACGTGTAGTGAACCTCAATTACAACAATCAGTGACGGTGAGTACATGATGTGTTTGATTATAAATATCTGCACATCACACACATGTCAGTCCCCATCTGACTACCGACAGTGTCCATGTTCGCAATAACAAATACTTCTACAAAGGGAATATACGATACAACTGGAAGTGTCAGTGTGTCAACACATTTGTAAATTTGTGTAGTATGACTAACAGTTGAATAGTTCTGAATGTATTTAAAAGTTAGTGATAAGAAAATGTGTAATATTGTGATGATTATCAACGTACATTGATCATCTTCTAAATTGGGATTAAATCGAATATATAAATAATATTAGGATAATGATAATTGTATTCAGAGTATGATTTGAGATTTTTAAATTCTGACTATGCCTTGAGTATAATTCCTTGTATCTTCAGGTTCGTCATATCGATCATTTTTTCTAGTGTAACAACTTTGTCCGTATATCGTAACTAATGTATATTCATATCACTGTTACCCGACAGTTTTATGAGTAGCTGTCAAACGTCAATTTCGAATTGTTCCATCCTATGTACTTGTGTACTAAAGAGTATTCTGTAATGACATCTGTAATGTAATACGTGACTTTAGTTGAGCAATGACCTCTTGCGGAAGTACAGTGATATTGATACTGATAAAATATGATAATGTTTGATGGATATGCCGTATATCAGTTTCATAGTGTACGCAGAGTTGAATAGTAGCTAGTCACTTTACTTATAAAATGCTTATGGCTTAATTGTGATATGTAGACAATCCGTATAGGATGTATATATGCAAAAAGAGATCAATCAATTTGATTACGTAATATCAGTCGAAATATTGAAAAAACCAATACAACTGAATTAAAACTATAATATATTATTCCTTCTAGAACAAATAGAGGAATCTTAGAATGTGTTTACTACTTGTTTAAATTTTTTTCAAAATGAATAAACTATGCAGCTTGATTTACCCAATGATCAAAATCTATAGTATTTACACTGTTTGTGTAGTGAACGGGAACACAAGTGAGACAATCGAATGTATTTGAACACATTATAGAATCAGTAAAATCTGAAAACCATACGGTAAATAATTCATTTGTAAAATGTTAATCAATCGTGTCAGACGTAATTGTTCCTTCGTTTCCATACTAAGCATTCTATGTTCTTATTCTCTTTCCTTTGATCTTCTTAACCTTCTGCCATCAGGTATTTCACTTTCGACTGAAGATACATACTACTTATATCTGTCGACACCAGTAACACACACCACATTTGTAATCAATAAAACTGTAACTTGGATGCTAATACGAAAATACTAATAATAATGAACAATATTTTAGTTAAGCGTACATTAATATTTGTTCTTCAAATCATACTTTAATTTGTAACACTGTTCTATGCTATCAGTTGTTGGTTAATAAGTAAAACTGGTCATTTTCACAGGGATATACTCACTATATAATAAATGTTATAGAGTTGAAATCATGAGTCAATTGAGGTTAGACCACCATCGAAAACCTGGAAGCACTGGAAGTCCATTTCGTCCTATTTCGGGACTCCTCAGCAGTGCGCATCCACGATCCCGCACTCTCGAGATTCGAACCCAGAACCTACCAGTCCATAATAGGACGAAACGGCCTTCCATTGTTTTCAGTTTTTCGATGGTGGCCCAGCTTTAATTGACTCATTATCTCAACTCTATAAAATTACTAAAATCTCCATCAAATCCCTTCTCATAACATAATAAATGTGTTTATTTTTGAATTGAATATGATGAATGTCCAGCGACTTATTGATGGTTTTGTAATTTCATTAATACAAAAGAAAATGTAAAAGGTAGTGGAACTTACTCATATAACTAGATCCTAAAAAAAAGAAGGATAATATGTGCAAATATAATAAATACTAAGTTCTCAATTATATTGTATTATTGACTAAAGATTCTGAACTAGAATAATGAAGATGTAGTTTGTTAATATGATTCTATACAAAAGTACTTTCGTGATAATAGTGGTCAAACTTTCTTATCCTGACTATCGAACTGAGCCGAATTAGTTCCAACAAGTACCATATTGCGATTGGAGTTCCCCTTCAAAATGAATGCATCATAATCAGGTTGAGTTTTCTTCAAATCGAGGGAATTTTCACATGCAAACAAAGTTTTAAATGTGACAGACTTTGTGCATATGAAAAGAGGGGTTTGAAAATATTTACTTAGTTACTTACGCCTGTTACCTCTCGTCGAAGAGCGTAGGTCTCTCACCAGCATTCTTCATCCAACTCTGTCCTGAGCCTTCCTTTCCAGTTCTTTCCAGTTACTATTCAGCCTTTTCATATCTGCTTCTATTTCCCGGCGTAGTGAGTTCTTTGGCCTTCCACTTTTCCGCTTCCCCTCCGGATTCCATGTTAGGGATTGAGTCGTGATGCACATTGATGATTTCCTCAATGTATGTCCGATCCACTTCCAACGTCTTTTCCTAATTTCCTCTTCAGCTGGAAGCTGGTTTGTCCTCTCCCATAAAACGCTGTTGCTGATAGTATCCAGCCAATGGATGTTGAGTATTTTGCGTAGACAACTATTTATAAATACTTGTACCTTCCTGATGATGGCCGTAGTAGTTCTCCACGTTTCAGCTCCATACAGTAGGACCGTCTTGACGTTCGTATTAAAGATTCTGACCTTGAAATTGGTTGAGAGTTGTTTTGAGTTCCATATGTTCTTCAATTGTAGAAATGCTGCCCTTGCTTTGCCAATCCTTGCCTTTACATCTGCATCCGATCCTCCTTGTTTATCAACGATGCTCCCCAGGTACTTGAATGTTTCCACCTCTTCCAGAGTTTCGCCATCAAGTGTGATTGGGTCGGTGTTCTCCGTGTTGCATTTGAGAATCTTGCTTTTTCCTTTGTGAATGTGGAGGCCTATCAATGCGGAGGCTACTGCTACATTTGCTGTCTTCATCTGCATTTGTCCGTGTGTATGAGAGAGGAGGACTAGGTCATCTGCGAAGTCCAAATCATCTAATTGATTCTGAGAAGTCCATTGTATTCCGTATTTCCCGTCAGATGTCGAATTCTTTATAATCCAGTCAATCACTAGAAGGAAGAGGAATGGGAAGAGTAGACAGCCTTGTCTGACTCCATATAAATAAATTTTGTCGCTAGCAATTTCTGATGACTACGGTAAGTTTTATAATATTCTGAGCTATTATAACAAAAGCTGCTGACAAAAAATTCTACGTACCTAGCTCTTATACCAGGTCTATTTATCAATCATTTTTCCCTATAAGTAAAACGTTTTCTTACTCTATAGTATCTGATCAGTCTTTTACTTCAGAGTACACTTTTAACATTTAGTTTTAGTTTTTTTTAAAAATTTTCTTCTAGTCAGTGCTGCCGATTTATTGATTATACTGTTCTCTTATGTTTACATGTTATTAGGATAATACTGACCGATAATTGTTCCTGAAAAAGACCAGGATGTCTTAACCTGTGAAACTTGTAATAAACTTATTGTAAATGGTTATCATTTCATCATTATTGAATAGGAAACTATACATTTACTGTAAGCATTGAAAAATACTGCCGATTTTAATTTAATGATTGACACTTCTATCATCGATGATAAAAATATAGTGATTGAACTATGAAGAGATCTGATGGCTTTAAAAAAAGTTAGCCCAAGAGACTTAACACCACTGAAAACATTACCCTAAGCTACATATTTGTAAAGATCTGATTTTATAAAGTTTGTTGTTACACCGAAAGCAATTCAACATGAAATCGCAAACAAATATTACGACTAAACTGAAAGATACATTTGCCCAGGAATACTGAATCCTACGAGTAGGTATAATTACTTAAGAATGAACTATCATGATGTTTTATGCAGTTTCCTGGAGCCTATAGGCTGCACCGATGATAGAAAGATTTGGTAAACTTATCTATTATTGCAAAGAATTGTTGGGCATTGAAGCGTACTTGACAAAATTATTTGGGCCAATTATATATGGTGACATAGGTATTTCACACATTGATATTATTCGTGTAAAGAAATGGAATTACACTTTGGCAAAATTTTTATCGTAACATAACAAATTCAAGCTGAAATCACTCGGGTATCAGATAAAGTCATTTCAACTTTAGTACACAGGAAATATTTGTCAACGGGATTTGTTGTATAAGTGACAATCAATTGTGTTGCAGATTATTCCTTTAATCTTATAATTAACCATACCAGTAACAAAATGTTCACAATAAGCTACATAAGAAAAAGGAAATAAGCAAAGATGGATAATGGCTAGCAGTGGAATTCAGGACGCATGTTTCATTCTACTTGGAACCTGTCACGACATTGCAAAAGCAAGTGGCTATCAGGACTCAGTAACTAAGTGGATCACGCGATGCCGTTTGAAGCGAACGTTACTAGATTCGAGTCCAAAAGTGAACATCAACTACGAGACGTGGATACATGCAGCTGACGAATCCCAAATAGAACGAGACCTGTATCCTGGATCTTACTGCTAGCTACCATCCATTTTTGTTTATAATGTTTGTGAATTAAGGCAATATCGAGCCAATCCGTACAGGATGCACATGTGTCAATAAGAAACTGATCAATTGCATTCCTGAACATTAATGGAAGTTTCAAACAAACAATACCAAGTGGATTTAGACTTCACCCCATTGCACAAGCAAGTGGCTATCAGGACTCAGTAGTTGAGTAGATAACGTGATGGCTTTTGAAGCGAAAGGTTCTGAGTACGAGTCCCAGAGTGAACATCAACTCTGAGATACAGGTACATCCAGCTGACTAGTCCCAAATAGGACGAAGCGCACGTCAAACTGAATTTCACTGCTAACCACCATCCATTTTTGCTTATAATGTTTGTGAAGTAAAGCAATATCGAGGCAATCTGTACGAAATGCACATGTGTCAATAAGAAACTGATCAATTGCAGGCCTGTACATCATTGAGAAGATTCAAAAAACAATAACTAGTGAATTTAAATCGAACATAATTTATAAATATTTTAAAAAGTAGCAGAACAAATGAACTTACTTCCAGCTGTTGTATAGCAAACAAACAAACAAATGAAACAGAAAAACTTGATTATTAATGGGATTAGGCTTTAATACAAGTTCATCTAATGCATTATATCTTATTGGATTGTTATACTTTTAAAGCTTTGTGGTGGTCGATATTTGATATTATCCCTAAACTTCGTATATTGTTCGTTCTGATAACCGCTACTCGATAACGCACTAACGGTGTATAAATCAGAAGGTGAATGCGAAGGATTGATTACGTTTATTATTGAACCACACACAGGTATCCAATATTACAGGCACGTCAAGCAAGCATGAAAGAGTAGTGCCGTAAAGCAGGAAAGTGAGCGTGAGAGCTGAATGAGTCAGTAAACGTGTACAGTGCGGTGCAGCGTAGAGTAGAGCAGAGAGCAAGTAAGCAGTAAACAGGATTAAGATGTACATATATATATAAGTGGAAAAGCATGAGTCATCGGATCAATTAAGCGATTAATAATAAGGCTGGCGGAATGAATACATGCGTAGGCAGCAAGCAATGTTCAAGCGTATATAGTAAAAGTACAATGGTATAGACAGGTTGTTATTGCATGAATGACTGTCCATTGAATAAGTTAACAAAAGGCCTTAGCCAGATTAGATGTAAACAAACTCAATTGTATGTGAGTTGCTATAGATTTTATAATTCGTAATTTGAGAGATTGCGAATTCAGTTATAAACCTTTAAGCTTTATACAGTTTAATGTGCGATACAAATCTCGGACATTTTTTCTTGGATAAAATATTAAACTACTACTGACGAAACATTTCATATAGTAATATATTTCATCTAAATAAGAAATGTATTTTGGTGTTTATTTCTTCAAAGAATCATTAATTGCTCACAAAGTATGAAGAAACTTCACAAATTAGACAAAAATTCTTTTATAGTTAAGATCATGAGTCAATTGAAGCTAGACCATCATCGAAAACCTGGAAGCACTGGACGGCCGTTTCGTCCTATTATGGGACTCTTCAGCAGTGCGCATCCACGAACCCGCTCTCGCGAGATTTGAACCCAGGACCTACTAGTCTCGAACCAGAGCCCTTAACCGATAGATCACTGAGCTGGCATCCAAAGTTGTTAATGTCTAACCTCAACCAATTCACGAAATTGCGCAACCAACTTCCAGTGGAGCTATTCCATGTCAGGTAGAGACAGGTATCTACCTCAGTACACTGGAAGTTGATTGCGCAATTTCGTGAATTGGTTGAGGTTAGACATTAACAACTTTGGATGCCAGCTCAGTGATCTATCGGTTAAGGGCTCTGGTTTGAGACTGGTAGGTCCTGGGTTTGAATCTCGCGAGAGCGGGTTCGTGGATGCGCACTGCTGAGGAGTCCCATAATAGGACGAAACGGCCGTCCAGTGCTTCCAGGTTTTCGATGCTGGTCTAGCTTCAATTGACTCATGATCTTAACTATAAAATTACTAAATCTCCACAAAAAAAACCCTTGTGAAAAATTATTTTCTCATATCCAAGTATCTTGATAAATACTATTGATAAAACAGTATTATGCATGCAAACCACATTCTGATCATAATTATCATGTGCACACTAGTAACTGGCTCAATGACGATTTTCCGGAGTTTCAGTGAGAAGCTGTTACCAATGGAGTTCATTCCGTTTCGGGTAGAGACAAGTATTTACCTCCGACAATGGATGAATTGTTGCACAAAATCACGGATTGATGGAAGTTAGACATTAATACCATTAGATGCTGGTTCAGTGATCTAGAGGTTAAGTGTTCTCCAGCAAGGCCGAAGGTCCTAGTTTCTAGTCCTGCTTACATGAACTCATGAATTGAACTATTAAAATTCTGTAAATCACGATATCATGAAAGACAACTGGTTGCATATCTCTTACTGTGTTCAACTTTAGTATACTCTAATGTCAATAAATTACTGTCGACGTAATATTGTAGACTTTATTTTACTGATGCAGTCAATCAATACATATTTCGATAGCTTATTTTTCTGCATCATTTCTTGGTTCAATTCAGTGATAATATGTATAGTTACATACGTTTGAAATTTATATTCATCAAGGAGCATTCATGTATTGAAGATCTCCTATTCCACAATATGTAAAATAAGTAAGCAATTTAACATTGAATAAGACGAATATTTAAAATGGCTAACAATCATTTGAATTAAGGATAACGCAAATGTTAATAAAATGAGAATGATAATGACACTTAAAATTTTAACATACATTGATCATTTCCTGAATTGGAAGAAAAATTAATACATAGAGTTACAGTGAACTAATAAGAAACTTTATGGCTGATAAGGAATTTATATGTATATAATCAGTCTGAAATATAGATAATAGTGTGGTGTAGGCTGCTTATGTCCATATAAGTAGTATATGGTGATAGTCAGACATAGAATGTATTTTGGTAGATCGATAAGGAAAGAACTGAAATGAAGCGTAATTGATAGGAAAATGCATGAACAATGAGATTAGAGAAGATTAACTGATATTTACAGAAGGAACATTGAAGATTGAGACAATTGATGGTTATTTTGTAAATTAACTGTTAACTGTATGGTTGTCAGAATTTAGTGAAATAGTCTGTAATTTGATCTCAAATACACTCGATTGTCCCAACTACTGTTTTTGTTCACTACATTAGTAACTCCCTATAAATATTTTGTTAGAATGGAAGCTTTGTTTATCTAACATTAATTATCTCTAACGTATGAAAGAATAATAGCATCCAGATCTTCATCGTTTATGTTATTAACATCAAACTATTCTATTTGATGGGGGTCTACTTCAGTAGGATATTAAACTTCATTTGGTTCAATTCAAATTTCAATCTAATCAATATTCTATACTACTAATTAGTAGTTAACTAATGGAACTGTTGATTTTGTTCAGATAGCATTTCTTTAAATGTTATGATATTCTTCATTCGTTTTCTAACTGACAACTATCGTTTGAAAGCTTAACTTCGCTTATGACGTGTTGATTTACCCATCATTATAATAAATAACAAAACAGTTGAACTTACTCATATAACTAGCTCCTGAAATTCAAACAAAATAAATTTAACGTGTTATTTCATACTCTGATATTAATGAATATCAATTAAACTATAATGTACTAGTTAACAGATATAATATTCTTTTTATACTCTCCTTAATAAAATGGAAATCGTGTAAATAAGCAAAGATGATAGTGGCTAGATAGTGGGTAGCAATGGAATCCAGTTTGACGCACGTTTCGTCCTATTTGGGACTAGTCATCTGAATGTACCTGTATCTCAGAGTTCATGTTCACTCTGGGACTCGAACCCAGTAGCTGTTGATCCAAACGCCATCGCGTTATCCACTTAGCTACTAATTCCTGATAGCCACTTGCTTGTGTGATGGGATGAAGTTACATTCAAAACAATGGGAATATACATGTAAACAACAATAAAAGTTTCATAAAAATGTCCAGTTCTTTTTGAAGAGAATGGGTAAACTTTGTCATTCTGATACTAGTGAAACATTTTTGACTAGAACAAGTTGAACAATCTACATTGATATCAAATGAAATCGTTACGCGTACTTAGTTATATTTCAGGGTCTTTGGTAAAAAAGAAACCAGTATTATATACGTGAAGATACACAAGATGTTACATCAGATAAACGGTCTGTCCTACAGTTATTTTCTATGCAATGATGTATGTATATCGTTCTCTGTCATGTTTTTACTAATTAACAATCTATTCTGATGATTATTAACTAGTTTCTACTAGAACTTGTATTCTTATATAGTTGAGATCATGAGTCAGTTGAAGCTATACTACCATGGAAAACCTGGAAACACTGGACGGCCGTGACCGGCTCCATGAAGTATTTTCTGGTGTTCTAGTGACAAGCAGTAACCAGTGGAGATCAAACAGGTCTTTTGGGATATATCATCTAACTGAAGACATTGGTGAATGGTTGCTCAATTTTGTGGATTGATTGAAGTCAGACATTACCACTGATGAATGCCGGCCAGCTCAGTAGTCTATCGGTTAAGAGCGCACGCGCGAGACTGATAGGTCCTGGGTTCGAATCTCGCGAGTACGGGATCATGGATGTGCAATGCTGAGGAGTCCCACAATAGGACGAAATGGCCATACAGTGCTTCCTGGTTTCCGATGGTGGTCTAGCTCCAATTGGTTCATGATCTCAACCATTAAAAATAACAAATATGTATTGATTATGTTGTTAATGATAGTTAATCTGTATATCATCACAATACTTGACTAACTGAAAGGTAACATTTAAAACTAGAATGCATGAAGACACATGTTGAGTGAAAACCTCAATTTCCAATATATAGTATTTATTTCAAATGTTAAACTTGTTTCTATATGTTCCATATGATTTTTATTTGGATCATGACAGAACAGATGAATGAAATTGCACCACTTCCATCACAATCCACAAATTGTATTTTATTCACACTGTGTAGAAGAGCATGTCAAGTTGATCAATGGTATACTTGATCATTTCCGATTGTGTAATACACAAAAATACACACACATTGTTTCATGCAACTCATCACATCATATTAAGGTAGATATGTAACAGACAAAATGAACTTACTTCCATCTGTGGAAACAAAATCAAAACAAGAAATCACAAAACAAATATTTCAATAGTTGTACAAACACAATTTATTTGTATGATGTGATTGATATTGGTGTCAATCATCTGTTATTCATCAATTCTGAACATTTATTTCATTCTTATCATTAAATTTGAATGAATCCATTCTCACACTAGAACACTATTCGATATATACAGTCACAAATCATCATCATCATCATCATCATCATCATCATCATCATCATCATCATCATCATCATCATCATCATCATCATCATCATCATCATCATCATCATTATTTCAAGGTTTAATGTGATTCAGGTGACGTTGTCGATGGATGTGAATTCCCGTGACCTGTCATCTAACAGGAGATTTGCTGTCGCACACTACACAGTAAACAACATGTTAAGACATTATCAATCAAGATAACTTTTATTATTTGACACATAATCATGTATTCCTCAAACTATTCAAATGTTCCCCAATAATGTCATTCTATATACACGTGAATCTTAAACGTGAAACATGTAGTGAACCTTAATTACAACAATCAGTGACGATGAGAACATGATGTGCTTGATTAGAAATATCTGCACATCACATACTCCAGTCACTTTCTGAGTACCTATGTTGTGTTCATGTTCGCAATTACAAACACTTGTACAAACGGAATATACTATACAACTGGAGGAGTCACTGTGTTAAACATTAGTAAATTTGTGTAGTATGACTAACAGTTGAATAGTGATGAATGTATTTAAAATTAAGTGATAAGAAAATGTGTAATATTGTGATGATTATCAACGTACATTGATCATCTTCTAAATTGGGATTAAATCGAATATATAAATAATATTAGTATAGTAATAATTGTGATCCGAGTAAACGAATGTTTGTGATTTATTCTTTTGTATAAATGCTGGTAGTTACAGTTATATGAATGGTGGTCATTTGAACCTCTAGTATTTATAATGTCCAGAACATCACAAGGCATTCAAGTGCTTGTATTCATACTTATATTTCTTCATGTTCGTCACTGATATCCTACTCTGTCATGAGTATCTTTCGTTTTTCAATACTTCATTGTACCATCTTTTTACTTGAGTACTTGAGTTTTTACTAAAATTACATTCATTATGTATTGAGTTACCTAATTTGTGTAAGAACCACTCGTATATATATATACCAATGACTCCCTGAAACATCCCAGGGTACTGCTAGAAAGCTCGTACAAAAAATATCTCTCCATGTAAAATCGTAAATCAACTTATTTTCCAATGTCCACCCCTTTAAAATTCATTCACCTTTTACAGATGTCATTTGTGATGTCTCTTTTATCCCGCGATATAATTTAAAAGCTATATTATCTGTGATTATTAAGTATATTATTACAACTTCATAATGCCGATTCAGAATCAGTGTAAGGTTATTTTTGTGGTTTGAGGCAGACATTTAAATCTACCTACCTCTCTTCAAACTTGATTCCAAACGGCCAGCCAATATATAAAAGCTTTAACAGATAACTTTACGCCTTATTTGTTTATTTATCAGTATATGGTTTCAGAGATTTTCGAATTTTGATTGAAATTATGAATGAATCAATTTTAGACCACCATTGAAAATGCAGAAGCACTGGACGACCGTTTCGTCCTAGTATGCGACTAGCCAGCATTGCACATCCACGATCCCGCACGCGGGATTCAAACCCAGGTCTCTTTAAATATTATTTACTGTAATATAGAAATTTCAAAATATTGAAGCTTACTTAGATAGTTAGCTCCTAAAATACAAAAAAAAGTTAATGTATAGTAACATTATCATAGTTTTACTAGTTAAATGAGATCAGGTTAAACATTTCTACAAATAGTATATACATACAAAACACCAACTAATTGGATACATTTATAATAACTGTGTCGTATTTGATTATTAATTCAATGACAATAATCAAATATTATGGTTTCTATTCAACATATAGTTTGTAATATGTACCGCCTCTTACACGTATATTACGATGATACTTTAATATGTTAATGTGACAAATTACGTTATATCAGAATCCGAATTCACGACCCAAAATAGAGAACCAGATCAACACTAGAGAATACTTTATTCAATACAATACAATACATACAGTGAATCAGTAATGGAAATCAAAGATAAGAAGGAAATAAATATATTTAATAGTTCGAAGGCTGTGGCTGTTTGTTCACTCTCAACGACCAATCATACTTTACTTTCACTACCACATATTGGGTTTACAAATTAACTGTGTACTAAACAAACAGTTAGCTGGTGTTAATCCAATGCTGAATGTGAAACTTGTTGTTAGTGTGCGTATAAACGTGAATCGTAGAAGAAATTGTAGTAAGATAGGAACCTTCATAATATAAGCGTATATTTCCTACATAATATTATTCCCAGTTCTAAAGCGAGAAAAGTCAAAAGCACAGTATCAAATGAAAAAAACAACAGAATTCTGTTTATGTGATGAATATCGTAACTACAATGCTATGGTAAGCAAAGGTGGATAGTGGCTAGCAGTGAAATCCAGGATGCGCGTTTCGTCCTATTTAGGACTCGTCGGATGGATGTTCGTGCATCTCATGGTTGATGTTCACTACGGGACTCGAACCCAGTACCTTTCGTTTCAAACTCCATCACGTTATCCCCTCGGCCACTGAGTCCTGATAGCTACTTTCTTGGGCAATGGGATGAAGTGTAAATTCACTTAGTATGTATTTAGGTATATGTAATTGAGATATCTCTATACTTGACGGCTGAAGGAAAACGGAGTCTACACGGAGCATATTCCTGAATCCTCAAAACATCTTAAAAAACTGGAGAATAAGTTAGTGATACCATTTTATTCGCCAGAATGTGGTCATAGAGTTGACTTCAGTAAAATAAGAACATAAGGTCGTAAGTGGTTAGTAATTTTTCCTAACGTCAAATTAACATAATATATATACAGCTGCTATTTAAATTTCTTCTACAATTCACACTCATACACACACTGACAACAAGTTTCACATTCAGCATTGAGTCACACTATTCAACTGTTTGTTTAGTACGTTGTTAATTTATAAACCATAATATTCATATTACCATACTTGTGATATTTGGTTATTTCCATGGAAGGAACTTCAATCAGACAATCAAGTGAAACATTGAATGTATATTAATTTTAGTTGTCGGTAGTTTTACAAATAATGATAGACTGGTAACATTTAAAGAAAGGTAAAATAATCAGTAGTATATATCATCTAACAATGGAATATATGTTAAAAGTCAATCATATGAACTTACTTCCATCTGTAAAATAAACAAATCATATGTAAAGGAATTAATAACCAATAGATGTGAATTATGAATATATATTTTGATTTGGATGATATAATTTTTAATTTCTAAACGAATAAGTGTAATATCTATAGATCAACTCCGCCTGTAACTCTTCTAGAGTTACTGCCGGTACCAAGCCTGAATAAAGGAGGAGTGCTGGGCATGGGATCAGCAATCCCATCCCGTAGAAAACCAACTCGCTAAAAAAATGCTATTCAAAAAAATTATTCAAACCATTTAAACTCTGACCTGGGAGTTGAAGGAATAATTGTGACGCCTCATGCTGAAAGGCGAAATTTTTCAGAAGTCACGAGACCGATGCACCTTTTAACAACCAGAGTAACACTCTTTATAGGTACATGGAGCGTCCAGACAGCTGACAGATGCATTTCAAGTAAGGATCGGAGTCGGACAAGGCTGTCTACTCACCTCCTTCCTCTTTCTTCTGGTGATTGACTGGATAATAGAGAAGACTTCGACATCTGAGGGGAAGCACGGAATACAATGGACAACTGAAAATCAATTAGACGATTCGGACTTCGCAGATGACCTAGCCCCCCTATCCCATACACATAAACAAATACAGACGAAGACAACAAATGCATCAATAAGCCTGAACATACATAAAGGAAAATGCCAAATCCTCAAATACAACATGAAGAATACCGACCCAATCACACTTGATGGCGAAACCCTGGAATATGTGGAAATATTCACCTACGTGGGAAGCATGATTGATGAACAAGGAGGATCTGATGCACATGTAAATGTTAGGATTGGCGAAGTAAGTGCGGCATTCCTACAATTGAAGAATATATGGAACTCAAAACAGCTGTCAATCAATATTAAAGTCACAATCTTCAACAGGAAGGTTAAAACAGTTCTACTGTACGGAGCTGAGACGTAGAGAACTACCACAAATATCGTCAAGAAGGTAAAAGTTTTTATAAACAGATGTCTACGCAAAATACTCAACATTCATTGGCCTGATACCATCAGCAACAGCTTTCTGTGGGAGAGGACAAACTAGCTTCCAGCTGAAGAGGAAATTAGGAAAAGACGTTGAAAGTGGATCGGACATACATTAAGGAAATCACCAATGTGCATCACGACTCAATCCCTAACTTGGAATCCGGAAGGGAAGCGAAAAAGAAAAAGGCCAAATAACACATTACGTCAAATATAAGCAGATATAAAAAGGATGAATAACAACTGGAAAGAAGTAGAAATGATTGGCAAGGACAAGGTTGGATGAAGTATGCTGGTGTGCGGCCTATGCTCCTCCACGAGGAGTAACAGGCGTACGTAATATCTATAGTTCAAGTCCTGTGGATGCTCACTCCTAACGAGTCTCATACTAGGACGAAAAGGCCGTCCAGTGCTTCCAGATTTTCAACGAATGTCTAGCTTAGATTGACTCATGAATTTAATTTTGGAAATATAAATAATTTATCATTTTACAAGAATAATCTGTCGAATTATTCAATATAGGCAAATTAAATCAGTCTTTAAACTTTACGTATCTATGATAAAGTTTAAAGTGGCATATAATTCTGTTAAATTACAATTGATGAGTAGATAAACATGAGATGTTAAAAATGTGCTGGTTTACATTAATTTTATATTAAGATGATAGAATGAATATTCTTAATCCAATATGAAAACTACTTACTTGAAGAAATACTACTCTCTCTTTCATATGAGTGTCCATCTATGAAATGATAAACAAGAAAACAAGACTTTAAATTACTACTGATGAATAACTTCATAGAAGCTAATCAAATAACAAAGTACTAGACAAGAATATTACGGTATTGTTGTAAAACTCCAGTTCATATCAGAATACATCCGATGAACACAAGTTCATTGAACAAGTAACAATCGGATGTTTATTGTTGTTGATTTAATGGATTGGAATTAATCAGTCTTTTGTCATGTCTATGTATCATTAGTAGATTGATTTGATTGTGCTATTGAGTTAGGAAAACGTATAATAGTGGCAAGTATTGGAATTCAGGACATGTGTTTTGTCCTATTTCAGACACATTGGGTAGATGTACTTGAAATCGGCTTTGATGTTCACGCCAGAACTTGAATTTAATACCTGTCAACTTAAATGCTCAATAAGTTTTCCACTTTGCTGCTGAGTATGCTTTCTAATCCTAATATGAACAAATGTAAGGTGGATATACATTTTAACTGTTGACTTCGAATTAGGAAAAAAACATACGTTTTGGTTTCCACTGCTTAGTCACCACCAAAAGTTTGCTCAAATAACATTAGACGTTGGGAGATGTTCTTCGTAAGACAAATGCTTTTATACATTTACACATCTAACATTAAGTAGTTTCATATGGAAATTTCCGATCTTCCGATCTAATTATTATACAACTCAAAGAAGATGAAGCCAATACTGAAACGATTATTTGGCTAAATTTCCTTTTCATAGATATTATTTACCAGAACTTTATGATTGCAATTTGAAATAATAGGGCAAGTAGTGTGAAAGTACAACTTTTAAGACTTTTATACGGTGGATAACCATCTATATTTGCATTCAATACTTAATAAACACTTGGACGGTTGACTTTTTGTATTTTTCTGTTGTTAATCTATCGTTTAGCCTATAAATCGTTGAAAGCGTGAGTCAAAATACAATAATCACAATTGATTGATCACTGGGTGGTGATCAATGTCATGCGTGTCAAGTCCTTCTTTAGTGCTGATCGAATGCTATCGATCAAGTTGCAATGTGGCCACCAGTCTAGGTGGCTCTACACTGCTTGCACTATATATATATATATATATATATATATATATATATATTGAGGTAAGATGGTGGTTGGAGGTGGTCAACAGGAAACCCTGGACCCGGGTTTCGTGCTACTTGGCATCCGTCAACAAGGTGTACCTGTAATCTTGATCGGACTGATGCTCTCTGGCGGATTCGATCTGACTGTGAAGCTGAATGACACGGGATCGAATCAGCCAGGGAGCATCAGTTCCCTCAAGATTACAGGTACACCCTGCTGATGAGTGCAAAGTAGCACAAAACCCGGGTCCAGGGTTTCCTGTTGACCACCTCCAACCACCATCTTACCTCAATAGAAAATACAATAGTTAATGTATTAACGACCCGATCACACAGAGCACAATAAAATCCAACTGTTTGATTCACTTTTCACTATTGCATCACATTTATAGCCATCTTTCTACATCTAGTAAATGTATTTAATAAACTGAAGAGGTATTGAATCATTTAACAACGTTATCCAAATATTTCAAGTATTTGACACGAGTTAAACAATAGTTTTAACGCTAGTAACTAAAAAAAATTAATTGTCCACTTGACAAAGACGATGACGTATTCAGGAACAATTTCCATTAATAACTTATGAAAATAGACGTGCTAACATCATGATCACATAATGATTTATACACGAAGACCAAATTGGAATTGGTAAATTATTAATTAAAGCGTCAATGAATAATTCACATAGTACAATTATTGCGTTAATTATTTATAAACTTACTACACACTGGTGTTGAACTTCTTGTTGGGCGTCTTACTGATGTTCTAATAGACATACGACTAGATCCAGAAAAGTCATCTGGAGAATTAAAATATTTTACATAATTAGAACAATCAGAATAATGTTTTTTTCAGGCTACGATATATCACCTTATTCAGTATTATTTCTGGGGAGATCCAGATAACTCCTCAAAAAAAACCCATCGAAACACGGCTCTGAAAAACCTGGGAAGCATCTTATCCAATCAACATCCACTGAATGTTTTGCCAGAAATATCTGGAAAGTGAAAAGTCAAATGCTGAGTTTCTGATTGGATGATTAACCATACTACTACTATGTTTACTAGCACTCCAGAATTTTCCGGAAACCAAATGCCATTTAAAAGGATATAAAAACCCTAGATTATCTGTACAGGAACAAAACTTTGGCGTAAAGCGTTTTCTTCCATATTCCGAGTCTTGGTCACTTTGTTCAAGTTGCTGTGTAGATTTTGCCTGGGGGATAGTAGATGCGCTGAGGAACCGAATTTAGCGTTCAATTGGAAGACTTATCAACTATTTATCTCAACCCAATCAAACGATATCAAGATATTCACAGAATATTTTGACAATCACATCAATTTGTGAATAGCTCCAAGATGTCTTACAAGTAAGATGAAATACAGTCTACTTAAATGCAGAATATATATAAACAAATTGGTTAAAAATATACCTGATGGTTTTGTATTTGTAACTGTAAAAGTAAGTTAAATAGAGAAAGTATGGAAGTTTAAGTTCAGCGATTCGAATATTATTACTTTTAATTTAACATTTTTCTATGGAATTATGCAATATCCTTGAACGATTTTGAACAAAGCAGCTTTTATGTCCAAGAGACTTCTTTAGTTGAACGTATGGCTGAATAGCTAGTACCTATGATGTCAATGTTCACCAGATAAAATCTACTTTAAAATTATACTCGTAGCCTAAAGTAAGTCTTTTCAATAAACCTTAATTTCGCCTAGTTATTGCTATTATCAAATTTAGATGTAATACATTTTCTTCATTAAGTTGCATCAGTTTTTTTTCATGTTTTCTAGTGAGGCAAAATACTAAATGCAAGGACATGTAATCTTTCGTTTACATGTGCTCAAGATAAACAAACAACTGTAAGTTAGATGACTATTAATTAAAAACTGAACTAGGTTCTAAATTCATTTAGTATTGTTTGTTTGAATCTTCCCATCGATGTGTTAGGACTGCAACTGGTCAGTCTCTTATCGGCATATGTTCATACTGTGCGTATTGCCTTGGTATAGCATTAATTCCACTGCTATTCACTATCCATCTTTGCTTAAAAACTAGGTTCTGTTACAACTCTTATCTGGACACAGAAGATCCACCTAAGGAATTTGAAAACCCTGATTCCAAACCAACGAAGAAAACGGATTCCAGGATCCTGAAGGAACAATTGGCGTATGAACCAATCGTTGGTGACCAGGTATCATGAGACTGTATCTCCTTACGTTGGTGCACTGCCTCGTGTTTCAGACTTTTACGTCTAAAGCTCCAGGTGTGACTCCCTAATAAAATTATCTGTTTCTGCTTGGTCACCCTGTCAATATCATAGCCCATAAACGAATCAAGTGACTTGTGTGGCGCATATGTATCTGGTCCCCCCGTTGTACCAATATTTATTTAAGGGCTTCGGCTCGAGACTGGTAGGTCCTGGGTTCGAATCTCGCGAGAGCAGGTTCGTGGATGCGCCCTGCTGAGGAGTCCCATGATGGGACGAAACGGCCGTCCAGTGCTTCCAGGTTTTCGATGGTGGTCTAGCTTCAATTGACTCATGATTTCAACTTTGAAAAATACTGAAATCTCCACAAATCCCCTTCTGATTGCAATATTTATATGTTCCAATAAACAAATAAATTAAATGAAATGTCATGATTTCTTATCACAGGATTATTGATTTAAAATGTAAACTGTTTACTACAGTATAGTTAGTAGTATATAAAATCAGTTAAAATAAAATCATATGAAATACATACCTATTGCTGTAAACAAAAAGAAAACAAAGAAAATACGTGTGAACCATTTTCTTCGTGTGTATAAAAAGAACTTTTCAACATTATGTAAGAAGTGAACGTCTTTTATAGAGTGATAGGTTAAATATATAAGTCGTGTCTATATGTATGAAATTAAACTGACGATATCAGAAGTCTTATTGTAATATCTTTCGTGGATTGGTTGAAGTTAAACATTAACACCGTTGGATGCCGACCAGCTCAATGGTCTAAAGGTTAAGGGCTCTGGCGCGAAACTGATACATTTTGGGTTCGAATCTCGCGAAGCAAGATCGTAGATGCTCACTGCTGAGGAGTCTCACAAAAGGACGAGTTCCAAGTTTTCCCTGGTGGTCTAGCTTCAATTGACACATGATCTCAACTCTATAAAAATATCTTTTATATTTTTGACATAAATTTAGAATTACATGTAGGATTAGACTATTAATAACATGGTTTACTTACGTAATCACTTCAATTAAACTTACAGTAAAGTGTCTTAAGTTTATTTGGGAGAGACATTTGTATGATAATTTAACACTTATTATCTAGTTTATCAATGATCATAAGCTATCAGTTGTCTGTAAATGTCTTAAAGATACGGTAAATATAATGTTTTCAATACTATTAATACTCATAGTTTAGATTACTAATTCATCATAGATAGAACATCATTGAAAAACTTGGAGCAGAGGACAAATGTTTCATCCTGATCTAAGTCTGAATTATCAATTATGCACGTCCAAGTCCTCATCACTGAGGAACGAACCTGTAGAACACTGAACCAGAATCTAGTGACTTGCTTGTCTAGCCTTGATGAGCTCGTGATATTATACAATTATCTATTATCTGCTGTGGATATCTCTCTCACACTTAACATAGTTGTAACCTACTGGTAATAGTTACTCATTAGACATCTAGAAATTACATCTTAAAGCTAGTCTACAGTGAATCTGTGGAGAACGGATAACTTCCACATGCTGATCCTCAGTAGCTTCACAGATGCGAATACTAGAACGAAAAATATGTCCAATGCTTCTTGTTTTTCAATAGTTATTCAGATTGAGCCATGCAGGTAGGTGTAGACTGCCTGGTTGGGATTCGCGAGATGATAGCAATCGATGGTTAGAGACCTTGAATGAAATGGCTCAAAATCGTTTGCAAAGGCGAAGGTGCATCCACTCTTTATGTTCTATCAAATCCTAATCTTTTGAATTCTTCATGTTTCTATCTTTTTCTCTTTCCAAATTTATTTCATTGGATTATACTCCTTCAATAACATCTTCAAACCCTAATATTTTCGATTACTGCTTGTACTCCAACTACCTCTGCCACTATGAGATTCGAATCAACAACTGCATCTCTGTGTTAATGTGGCATGGCAACTCGAACTGATGTACGTACGTACGAAGTTCTACGTTGTAACTGACTGGCTGACAGCTATCAAACATAAGATTAAACAAATTTTATTTCATATTAAGGTGTTTATCTGTTTAACGAAAAGATGTTCTCTAATAACAGTTTTCTGATAAGTATGCTATACTTGAAAAAATCATATACAATAAACTTTTCTATTAGTGATAAATCCAATCCAACGCTAGTTTTGGTTCCTAAGCTCTTCTAGTAACCTCCAGGCTAAATCTACACAGCAACTTGAACACGAGAGAAAAGGTGTGAAATATGAAAGAAACGCTTTGCTCCAAAGGTTCGTCTATGTAAAAAAATTTGGGTTATTTATAGCATTTTAGATATCTTTACATTTCCGGAAAATTCTTGGACGCTACTTAACATAGCAGCAGTAGATTTAATCCTTCAATCAGACACCATACATGTGACTTTTCACTTTCTAGATATTTTTGGTAAAACTTCTATCAAATGCTGATCAAATAAAGGGTTTTCTCAGCGTTTTCAAAGCCTTTTTTTAGCTTAATTCAAAGGAATTTTCTGGATCTCCTCCACAAACAGCTTATAGAACAAATCTGTAATATCAATTTATTAGAAGCAATAGCCCAAAACATCTTTAAAAAGGAGCCACTGTTCTTGAGAAAAATTATAAAAAAAACTTCTCAAGTACAATTTTTTAAACGAATACAAAACTAAGAGATATGATTCATTCTAGATAATTGAATTCATCATTTTAGTTATATGAAACTAGTTTAAAATATTGTTTAATAATCAGTGACCAGTGGAGTTCAACCAGGTCTGTTGTAAGATAGTAACTGACGGAAGACAAGGGTTGACGGTGGCTCAATTTTGTAGATTTGTTGAAGATAGACATTAATACTGTTGGATGTCCGCTCAGTGTTCTAAAGGTAAAGCGTTCGCGATCAAAACCAATGGATCCTGGGTTCCAGTCCAGCAGGAGGGATCGTAGATGCGCACTGCTATGGAGTTCTACACTGGGACAGAACGGACGTCTATTGCTTCCATGTTTTCCATGGTGGTCTAGCTTCAAGTAATTCATAAACTCAACTATTAAATTACTATAATTTCCACAAAACTCCTTTCTGTTAGTAATATTAATCACAACATAAACAAACTGTTGTTCCCTACATCGTCTATGTTTTTTTCTACAGTTTACAATAAAAATATTCCTCATATATATTGATCTATGCAATTTTAACTAGTCATCAACTTTTTGCAATACATCTGTTAAATACAATTTATCCTACATTAGAAAAATGAATACAATTTTCAAATTATTACAAATACGCTATTCATTGACTAAGCTGGAACGTTTAATGAAACGTTTGTAATACAACGAGCCCCCAAATGCCCTGGCACGGTCGAGAGTGGAGAGAGTCCGCTCTCCCTCTTCAAATGCTCTCATATGACCACGCTTATATAGCCTCTGCCAAAGAAGTCCTACTCATTGCCTTCTCGTGGCGAGGGTGTTGTGTACAAAAATGAGAGGACAAAGATCGAATGTCCAGCGCTTTAACCGGATTGGTGGACACGGAAATTCCACCTAAGGGAGTTAGAAAATCATGAATCTAAACCAATGGGGCACATGGGCTCCAGTATCCTGAGGGAACAAATGGCGTATGAATCAATTGTTGGTCACCGGCTACCATGAGCCTTTATCTCCTCACAATGCTCCACTAACTTGTAGATCAGATCTTTAGGTCAACAGCTCCTAGTGTGGCCCTCTTAGATAACCGCCTGCTTCAGTCTGGTCACCTGGACAGTATCACAACCCTCACACAAGTCTAATTTGATTTGTGTATCTGGTGCTTCCTTGTACCAATATTTATGTGTTTAAATGAAATAAATAAATAACAACGTAATTATCTAAACCACCTAACTTACTTGGACGTTCATCTGAATTCATAAAATTTAAATTGATCACTGTTGGACTACATAATGAATTATGTGCATCATCTGTATTCGGTAAACTAGTAGTAGTGACATTAATAGTTTTAGGTCGTAAATCTTCTGAACTTTTTGTATATACAGATTTATAATGTATATCATCATTATTTGAAAATGAAGTAGGTCTGGAACGTTGAAAATCTCCACTACGTATTGAACCAGTTCTAGAACGTTCATCTTCGTTTATTAAAGTATGTCCTTCAGGTGCATATGGTGTATGATCCCAATAACATTTGCATCTTTCTAAATAAGAAAAATAATAAGAAAATTATAGAAATGAGTAATCATATTTAATCGTTATGATGTTATTTACAGTAAATCACTTTTACTTTTGGTCACAAATTACTGAGCAGTGCTTTGTCACGAAAAATATTCTGATATGTAGAATAAAACTCAAAGTATGTATGGAAATAAGTTGTGGTGTATGCTACTTATGTCTATCGATATAAGTAATATGTACCATAAATCAGAAGTGAAATACCTATCAGCACAAGGTTAAGAAGATTGAATTGAAAAAAATAGAAAGGTAAATAGAAAGAAATCGAGAATTGGAAGAATCATGCGGAATATAAAGGACAATTGATGGAAGATTTGTAAATGAAGTACTTAATGTATGGTTTTCGTATTCTACCAAGATATTATGTAATTTAGTTGTCTTCACCTGAGTTTGCGTTCACTACAATTTTACTTTATAATAGGATTATTTACAATACAGCCATGATACTAAAATTTGAAGGTGACTGGTATTCACTTAATATCGAAGACTAAAAAGACCAATGATGAAATCATATTTGAGTCCATATAGAAAGACTAAAATAATTTTAAACCTGAAACAGAAAAATCATTAAATTCCAACTAATAGCGTAATATTGATGACACAATTTTTAAGTATTTTAGTAGTCTAGTGTCTTGTGAGGTTTAATTAGGAATCATTTTTCACCGTTCTGGTAACCAATCATGTAAAAGTGACCTTTAGATTCATTATGTGCTTATTAAGTCAACTCGTTCTGGTGGTCCTTTATGTGATTGGTTGTCTTAGTGACCTTTGTTGTCTTCGTGTGTTCTTATACTCCACTTCAGTCTTTCTCTCTTAACCACTGACCATGTGACTGATTATTTTTCTCTTTATGGGTTTGATCTATATCACTGTATCTATTGATTAACAATTGATCTAAATGCGGTGCTTCTTAAGATTCATGAGGATTCATCGAGTTTCGCCAATCCGAAGTTTTGACATATCTTCATTGTAATTCATAACAGCTATTGTCCACATTCATGGACATCATATGACTACACTATTAATGTATTTCCACACTTCTAGAAAAAACATGTACAGCTTCCAATCTATGATGAAAACATCCTGGTCAGTTGTTTGTTTCTTTTTTTAGTTCGATCAATTGATCAAACTTTATAAAACTTAAGATATCAGACATTATGTTGAAAACTCATGATTTTCAAGTAAAGCTGTATCGTTTTCGAATACTAACTTTAATTCATATCGTGAAAATAATCACCAACAATTAAAGCTTTTCATATGAACCAATTGTGTCACAGTAACCTAGATTACGTAATGTAAGAAATGTTACTTTGGATTATAGTTCATATATTACGTTAATTGATTAATAACTGTATCCAAGGTAACTAACCTGATAATCCTAAACTTTCTCTAAATGATCGTCTATGACTTGATCTAATTGAATTACGATCCAATGAATACATACTTTCTGTAACATTCAAAAAAGAAACACTAATGATTTCAATGGAATATAATAATAAGATCGTTTAGAAAAAAAGAAGTAATACGTATATTCACACAAACTACTAATGTCAATGTTTAAATACACACTGTCTATTAAAAGATTACATAAGTAAGCTAATAGCTAATAATATAGTCAAAGTATATTCTATCCTTGATGAACCTTCATTAATAATAATCATTCTTAATTGTTTGTTGCTTTTTCACTTGGAACTGGATGAATTCTATTGTTCAGTGTAAAATTGATTGATTGATTGACACCAACAAATGGATATAAACAAACATTATTGTCATAAATTCTCATCATATAAAAATTGTAAAACTTAAGGTATGATTGACAACATTGTGTAAAAATTGGATAAAAAAACAAATGAACTGCTGAAAGATTCCTAGTAGAGAAATACCTGTAGTATAATAAGAATCTTATTAAGACAAAAGCTGATTAATTTAGAATGAAAGCACAAGTATTTGGAATTCATGAGTTAATCAGAGCTAAACCATCATGGAAAACCTAGAAGTACTGGATGACTGTTTCGTCCTAGTATAGGACTCTTCAGGAGTGGGCATCCATGATCTTGTTGGCGGGGTTCGAACCTAAAATCAACCGATTTTGCGAGCGAACGCTTATTCGTCAGACCACTGACCTGACATCCAATGGTGTTAATGTCTAATTTTTATGTTCATCTATGACAAGAACAGTTTTTTCTAATAAAATGTAGCGAAAATACAAAGTAGTCATTTTAATCAAGTAGAAAAACCACAATATAGATACAACTTTAATTAGAGCTCATGACATTCAATAAACTAATAATAAATCACTTCAAAGAAACTGAAATTAAAAGGGAACTATATTGATTTATCATTTTGTATTGTTTACAATTGATCAGTCTCTTATTGTTATGTGTGCTTTCTGTGAGAATTACCTTGATATTGACTTCAGTCGCAAGCATTATATGTATAGATAGTGGTCAGTAGTGGAATTCACAACGCACTTTTTTTCTATTTGGGATCGGTCAGCTAGATGTACATGCATCTCGGAGTGAACAACAAATCTGGGATGCCGATACATCCAGCTAATGAGTCACAAATAAGACGAAACATGCATCCTGGATTCCACTTTTAGCCACTATCTATCTTTATTTACCTTGATTCTTGGTTTTAAAGAAATTGATAAGGTTAAAGTAAAAAAAATGGATAAAACTATCAAACTATAAAAATACAAAATTATAATACATACAATATGACAATTCAAACTACAGCGTTAGTATTGTCATTTGTCAAACAAATCTATGATATAACGAGACTCATTTGGATGATAATTGTAAATTTATTTGATCTCTATAACAAATGACATACAGTAATTTATTAAAATTATGTTGTAGTTTAACACTTAAATCATTGAATCGTTCAATCATTTCATTATTCTTGATCAGAAACTGATTTCAATTCCTTTTCCCCCTTTATAAAATTATGCAGTAACTAACGTCTACTCTATTCCGTTCTATATATATATATATATGTATATATATATATATATATATATATATACATCAATTAAAGTGTATTAATTTCATGAAATTCTTTTCAAGAAGATGAAGTAATCAAGGGATAGTAAGAGTTGTTTTGTCAAGCAATGAACCCATATAATTGATTGTTTACTAATAATGAGAAAAAAAATCAATTTAAAAGAGAATATAATTGAAGTGGTCAAATAGTGAAATGTTTAAAATAAGTTAATAAAATCATCAATATGGTGTCATACAGTATCACAAATCGATTGAGGGTTACCAGTGTGCACTATTGTATACCAGCTTAATCATTTATAGATAGTGTTCCCTCCCGAGACTGAAGGTCCTAGGTAGGGTTCTTTGTGGTGGAGCTGTGTGTGCACACTTCTGATGAGTTCCGTACATGAAAGAGACAGCTGTTCAATCCTTCCTTATTTTTAATGAATGTCTAATTTAGGTCGATTCGAAATCTTAATAATATTCAACAATCTTTTAAAGCCCCATACTAGTTAAAATGAAGTAAGTAAAGAATTAAGTGTTATTTGGTAATCCAATGTTTGCCTGATAGAATGTTTTATAACATGGAACGGATTTACTCAAAGATTCAATAATAACGATTTCTTGAAATAACGTTCTTACGAAAACAATGATTTTCAATATTTGTACAGTATTTATAGAATTTCATTCTTAAGTGTAATCAAGTTTCGTGTTCACAAGGGGGTTTTGCGGAGATTTTAGTAATTTTATATAATTAAGATCATGAGTCAATTGAAGCTAGACTACCATGGAAAACCTGGAAGCACTGGACGGCCATTTCGTCCTATTGAGGAGCTCTTCAGCAGTGCACATCCACAACCCCACCTCGCGAGACTTGAATCCAGGACCTACCAGTCTCGCGCCAGAGCACTTAACCGATAGACCACTGAGCCGACGGTGTTAATGTGTAACCTCAACAAATCTACGAAATTGCGCGACCAACTTCCATTGTACTGAGATAGATGTCTTTCTCTACCTGACATGGATTAGCTTCACTGGCCACGACTTCTCACTAGAACTCAAGGAATTACCTCATGGAGCCAGTTACTAGAGAGCATACGATCGGTTAATTGCTCTGGCGCGAGACTGGTAGGTCCTTGGTTCGAATCTTGCGAAGCGAGATCGTGGATGAGCACTATTGAGTAGTCCTACAATAGGACGAAATGGCCGTCCAAGGTTTCCAGGTTTTCCATGGTGGACTAGCTTCAATTGACTCATGATCTTAACTATATAAAATATCGTGTTGTTTAACCTTATATTGAGATGTAATAACTCTTATGAGGTTGTAACTCTTTGAGTTTACAGTAACGTTATAAAACACAATTGAAAGTACTACACTTAATCATTATTATATAATCAAGTTTAAACCATAATTTACTTATGTTTACAAAATGAAACAAATTACTTGGAAACTATAAACACTATTATTTCTTATTATTTGTCTTAAGTTTCATTTGTGGTGGGGTATTTTTTAAAAATCTAAAACAAGAGAATGAACTTATTAAAGCACATTTTCTGTTGTATTTTAACATATAAAATGAAATTCCTTATTTGTATACTGTCTCCTTATTGTTGTAACTTTTGAATGAACATTACTCTGTTGGGGTATTTGTTGTTAAAAAAAAAAAAGAAAATAAAAAAATCACTGACTTAAAACTAATCTGAATAGTTACTGTGTATGTTGTTATAATATCTGCTTCTAGTCAACACTGAAATAACCAAATAACCAGATAGACAAGTAAATGTTTCAATGAATTGAAAATGAAGTCAAGATCAAAATCGGTGCATTCTTATTTAAATGCAAAGTTGTTCATCATGTCATTTTAGTACAAAAATTATAATTGTTGAGAGAATAAAATTGCAAATAAAAATCTATTCATACATAACATTTGCCAAATTCAGGAATATCCTAATAAAATTGACCTCACTATTACTTTAAAAATGGAAGAAATCATTCCGGAAATTTTGTTTTCATCAAAAACAAACAATCTGCCCCCAAAAATGCTCTGGTACGGCCAAGAGTGAAGAGAGTCCGCTCTCCCTATCCAAATGCTCTCACATTGCCACGCGTATATAGCCTCTGTCAGGGAAGTCCTATTCACTGCCTTCTCGTGGCGAGGGTGTTGTTTATAAAAATAGAGCGAGCGAAAAGTGAATGCCCAGAGCTTTAAACGAGTTGGTGGACACGGAAAGTCCCCCTAAGGGAGTTAGAAAATCATGAATCCAAACCAATGGGGCATATGGGCTCCAGTATCCTGAGGGAACAAATGGCGTATGAATCAATCATTGATCACCAACTACCATGGAACTACATCTCCTCATGATGCTCTACTATCTTGTGGGTTAGATCTTTAGGTCAAAGGTTCTGTGTGTGGCACCCTAAGAAAACCGCCTGCTTCAGTTTGGGCACCTGGACAATATCATAGCCCTCAAACAAATCAAATTAGTTTTGTGCGGCGCATATGTATCTGGTGCTTCTTTGTATCAATATTGATGTGTTTAAATAGATAAATAATTTATCTGACAGTATAATGTAGATACTATTTTGTTTTAGTATAAGAGACAAAGAAAACAGTTTATACATAAGATGCATAGATTTTTTCACATTAAATGTGATCAATTAATGAGTAGTTAAATACCAGTAAGTGGTTTTTTTTAAATATCTTTTCCGCTCCAATTTCAAAATCTTTACACATCATCATGTTTTAACAATTCGGCTTAACATAAATAACTAAAATCTTCAATTCTCACTATAAGTATATTACTTCAACACTAATAACATAAAGCTGATATACCAGGAACCATTTTGATTGATAAACCGTTAGTAATTTAAAAACAAAACAAAAATCCAGGTAATTTCTTCTTTTCATTCATATAAACAAGTACTTTTTACTAGTGTAGTGTGGTCTACTTATATTCACATAAGTAGTATATGTTGATGGTCAGACATAGAATATATTTTGGCAGAAAATCAATAAGGAGTGCACAGGAATGTAGTGCAATTGGTATGAAAATGCATGAACAATGAAATTAGAGAAGATGAACTGATATTTACAGAAGTAACAGTTAAGATTGAGACAATTGATTCTTATTTTTCAAGTTAACTGTTTACTGTATGGTTATTAGAATTTAGTGAGATAGTCTGTAATTTGTGATTAAATACATTCCGTTGTCCCAAGTCGTGTTTTGTTCACACACCAAATAAACAATACCGTAAATATAAAACAAGTAATCATTCAATCCATTATAATGATAATCATCATTTATTGATTTGTTAAGTAATCTTTTTTTTTCTAATGTTTTTTTTTTAGTTTTCATACTTAGCAACAGAATTTTTTTTGTAAATAAAAAAAATCTAAAAAAAAAACTTCTCTCAAGTTATGTAATCAGCAACAAAATCTTTTTTTTTCTTTTTTTTTTCTTT